AGCTCAACGACAATCAATACCTTCTTCGCATTCTCGCAGAGCCATTGCATCGGCCGCCTAGTCACACTAGCGTCCGTTCTAGCGAATTGTCTCGAGATGAGCCCGGCAGTCGCTACATAAACATCGAAGGATATTGGATTATTGAAGGGGAAATTGGAGGCCATGAGGAAAGATCTGAGGTTGATCAATCATGTGACTCTAAATATATCCTTACTCCAAGCGTGCGGGACAACTTGAGGGATCTGGCGCGAGTAGTAGCCGCTAGGTAAGTGTAAAAGGCCTTTCCTCTGATTTTATTTAAATGTTTTATGATTTAACTGATTAAATCTCTACCTAAGTTTTAAACTTATAAAGGATTTGATTTGAACTATTCCATATTGAGACGAGAATATTAACCGTTTGGTCCTAATTTAAGCCTTAGAAGAAATTAAATAATTTAAGCAAGTTTATCGTCTCTAGTGTTTTGCTCTATTTTAATATGTGAGAGAATTTATTACTGAGTTTAATTAAAGTGCCTCATCCATTTTAACTTTTGTTTATTTTAGGGCATATTAGCATTTTTGTGTTCCCCCAGTCATTGTCAAATAGGCTGGCATGTCTCATTAACATATAGTCACCTACAATCTTTGAGCGCCCGGATATCGATAATGGATCATATTTCTTTCAGAAAGATGGCATAACTGAATGGTTTGAGGGTTTCTTAGAGCACTGTTTTTATCCAGCAATTTTTCACTAGTTCACCCATGCTTTTAAAAAGAAGACAGGGTGACAAAATTAGGACAGAAAAGGTCCCCGCTTGTATATCTTTGACTAAATAGCCTCCTGAAAATGTATTCCTCAGTAAACAGATATTATTATAAATTAGACCTAAATAGTAATTATTTTTCAGGAATAATTCTTTGAGCCAATACAACGCTTGTCAAAGGTTGCTATCCCCTATTCTCATACTCCCAATAATCGTTGATTTCAAAACTCCAATCTTAGTTTTGTAACTATTGTTGGAAAGAAAATTCAGAAACGAGCCAACATATGCTTGCATCCTATAAACACCTCTTCATAACCCACCCTATTATCTAATGATCAAAAACATCCAAAAATGGTAAAGATCTCTTGCATTGACATTCTAAACTTAATGTTCACTTTACGTTGGTTCAATGAAAGAAGGAAATTATCTTAGTTTTATATTCTTTGTTTTCGCATCAAGCCTATCCTTTGAACCAATCCGAATGCAGCACTAAAAGTCTTCAGGAGTATTTTAAGTCAGAAACTACCTCGGTTGACACATCATTGCCACATTGCTCTCCTTGTTCCGTAATTCCCCTCTACGACCGAACACTGCCCTCTTGCACCAGCACCATAGTCCACCATCGTTTGCGTTTTTTCCCACATCGAGATCCTAGCCTGTAACTTCCCTCTTATGTACAAGGCACTCTGTGACTCGTTTTATTGTTCTTTTTCACAAGGCTGGCGAAGCCTTGTGAGCCTTGCTTCACACAAAGGCTCCTATTGGGAGTTTCGAGCCAGTCTCCTTAAGATTTAACCACATCCACATGGGAATTGTTGGTCTCCTTATGGACCGTTTCACACCATGTTCAGAAGCTATTCCAATGCCAGGCATACAAGCAGAGACAGTTACGAGAACCTTCATTACTCACTGGGTGTCAAGGTTTGGTACACCGGCAACCATCACAACCAACAGAGGTAGGCACTTCTAATTTGATCTTTTCGTCCAATTATCAAAATTGTTAGGAACAAAAAGCATTCACACGTGTGCCTACAACCCGCAAGTTACCGGTTTGGCAGAACGCTTTCATCGGCAGTTAAAAACATGTATGAGGTTTCAGAGGAACCCGGACAAGTGGGCAGACAATTTGCCTTTAGTCCTGTTGAGCTTGTGGACCACGGTCA